AAGGTTCTTCAGACCCGTAGAGGGTAAGGACAAGTTCAGAGCAGGATCTGGGGCGGGGAGTCACCCTCCGATGTCGCGCTGTGTTGCAGGCGTTGTTCGTGGTCCTGCTACTTGGCTGGCTCTTCGTGCCGGTGTACCTGACGGCGGGCGTCATCACCATGCCGCAGTACCTGCGCAAGCGCTTCGGCGGCCGTCGTATCCGCCTCTACTTGTCCGTGCTCTCGCTTTTTCTGTACATCTTCACCAAGATTTCGGTAAGCACGCGTGGTGGGCGGAACGGGCCCCTGGAAGGGTGGGACCACCTAGTGGCGGTCTCTAGAAAGCCCCCGAGGGGGCACAACTAAGGAACCATCGCTGTAACAACCCTAATGGAGGCAGGGCCTGGAAGGAATCGGTTTCTGGGGCTACAGCCGTAGTGGGAGGTATCAAAAAATGAGGGCACTTTTGAGGTGTGACCACGTTGGGTCGTGATTCTGGGCAGGAGGTGGACCTGGGTTCCCACCCTGGCCCCTGGATCCTGACCTGCGCGCTCGCTCCTTCCCCCAAGGTGGACATGTTCTCCGGGGCAGTATTCATTCAACAGGCTCTGGGCTGGAACATCTATGCCTCCGTCATCGCGCTCCTGGGCATCACCATGATCTACACTGTGACAGGTGGCGGGGGCGGGGTCTTACGGAAGGGAGCCGTGCTAGGGGCGTGAACTGGGGCGGGGGAGGGGGGGGCTTAGGGAAAACCCGTACTGTGGCGTGTGGGCGGGGCTTAGAGGACTCACCAAAGGTAAAGAGCGCTGGAGAAGTTAAGTGTGATGTGAGCAGAAGGATCTAATTCTTTGGAAAGCAGATTGGTCCGGAAATTCATAGCTCCGAGCCCCTCTTGGGCCTGGACAACAAGGAAGACTTAAGTTTTTATTAACGTCTGAGAGGGGAGAGTGGACTTGGTCAGACTCCAGGATAGCTCACCAATCCCAGTGCAGGTCCGGGGAGAAGGGAGTGGGGTCTGAGGCCTGACGCTGGACCAGTGTGGGCGGGGCCTGGTGCCAAGGCCTATTGTACGGTCCGGCCCCTCGGGATGGGATGGAACTGAGAATTGGACCTTACAGGATCACCTCCTTCTGTTACACAGACGAGAAAACCTGGACTTAGAGAAGGGCCTGTAGTGGAGGTCCTACACGGGGGGCATCTGGCATCCGTGGAGCCCCAAACTCAGCCCCACTGTTGCCTCCTGATGCCGGAGTGCAGGAGCTCGGAGAATGGGCCATCATTTTGAAATTTGCCCTCCAGGAAAATTAATTGGAAAAGGGGAGCCCTTTTCCAATTCGCGCAAAGACAATCTATGTACTAGAGGCAGCCTGTCTGGGCTGTGCCCCCTGACCCAGGCCGGTTGCAGGAGGGCTGGCGGCGCTGATGTACACGGACACGGTGCAGACCTTCGTCATTCTCGCGGGGGCCTTCGTCCTCATGGGTTACGGTACGGGCTCAGCCCATGGGGGAGGGGCGCGGAGGTCGCAGGTCGCAGAGCTCTCCACCTGGGAGCAGGGACATCACGCGTCTGGGTCGGGGTGGTCCGAGGGAGGGCCTTGTCGCGGGCGCCGGGTCCCCTGACCGCCATGCCCTCACAGCCTTCCACGAGGTGGGCGGGTATTCGGGGCTTTTCGACAAATACTTGCGGGCAGTGACGTCCCTGACGGTATCCGAGGATCCGGCCGTGGGCAACATCTCCAGCTCCTGCTATCGACCCCGGCCGGACTCCTACCACCTGCTCCGGGACCCTGTGACGGGGGACCTGCCATGGCCCGCGCTGCTTCTGGGGCTTACTATCGTGTCCAGCTGGTACTGGTGCAGCGACCAGGTGAGGGGTCGGGGCTGCGGCGGGATGCGAGGCCGGGGTAGAACCTGCGGGGGTGCGGAGCTGAGATGGGTGGAGCCTGAACCCACCTGGGAAGCCAGGTGGAAGGCGTGGTCCGAGGTGGGGGGCGGGCGGGAGGCCTGCCAAATAGACCTACCCAGATGGAGGCGGTTCCAAGGGGCGAGGCCTGCTCTTGGAACTGAATTGTCCGCCTCGAGGGGCCAGCGGCGGGGCTCGGATTAGAGGAGGCGACTTGGGGTAAGGCCAGAGAGACGGCGAGTTACCTGGGACTGGACGCAGGTAGTTTGAAAGCACCTCGTCGCAGGTCATAGTGCAGCGCTGCCTGGCTGGGAAAAACCTCACCCACATCAAGGCGGGCTGCATCCTGTGCGGCTACTTGAAGCTGATGCCCATGTTCCTCATGGTCATGCCGGGCATGATCAGCCGCGTTCTTTACCCGGGTAAGGTCTGCAACCCCGCCCCGACCCCGAATCCTGAGCCCCATCCAGCCCCTTTCTCAGTGGAGGATACAAGTGCCCGTCTCCCATTTCCGTTCCCGTTTCGAAGATTTGGGCCACCCAGTCCCGCCTCCCACCTGGGGATCCCATTTCTCCACTGGGATTCCCGGTCCCCACTTCGGCGATCCGAAGTTCCAGACCCGGCCCCGCCCTAGCCGCGTGGCGCCCTCCTTCCCGCAGACGAGGTGGCGTGCGTGGTGCCCGAGGTGTGTAAGCGCGTGTGCGGCACTGAGGTGGGCTGCTCCAACATCGCCTACCCGCGGCTCGTCGTGAAGCTCATGCCCAATGGTGAGGGCGGTCCCCGGGTTGCCCGCCACGCCCACAGGCGCCTACGAGGCGTCACCCCTCGCCCGGCCCGCACCCTCCGGGCGCCCCCTCGAGGCCGCAGGCTCACGGCTGCAGTCCGCCCGCAGGTCTGCGCGGACTCATGCTGGCGGTCATGCTGGCGGCGCTCATGTCCTCGCTGGCCTCCATCTTCAACAGCAGCAGCACACTCTTCACCATGGACATCTACACGCGCCTGCGGCCCCTCGCGGGCGACCGCGAGCTGCTGCTAGTAGGACGGTGGGCCTGGGTTTTCCATCTCCGGCCCTACGACTCGGCCCCGGGGGAGGGAGAGTAGGGACAGGGGGAGACCGGATCCTGGGTGAAACCTCCCGTTGGCCGCCCACCGCAGGCTCTGGGTGGTGTTCATCGTGGCCGTGTCGGTGGCCTGGCTGCCCGTGGTGCAGGCGGCGCAGGGCGGGCAGCTCTTCGATTATATCCAGTCAGTCTCCAGCTACCTGGCGCCGCCGGTGTCTGCCGTCTTCGTGTTGGCGCTCTTCGTGCCCCGCGTCAACGAGAAGGTGAGCGTGTGTGCACATTGGGCGCTGGGGCTGGACTTGGACGCCCGAGGAGGCTGACGCGCTCTTGGGGCCCGCAGGGCGCCTTCTGGGGACTGATCGGGGGCCTGCTGATGGGTCTGGCTCGCCTGGTTCCCGAGTTCTCCTTTGGCTCCGGCAGCTGCGTGCGCCCCTCCGCGTGCCCCGCGCTCCTCTGCCGCGTCCACTACCTCTACTTCGCCATCCTGCTCTTCGTCTGCTCCGGCCTCCTCACCCTCGTGGTCTCGCTGTGCACACCGCCCATCCCGCGCAAGCACGTAAGTGCAGGCCTCCCGTGGGGGCACTAACGTGGGCGGGTGTGGCCCCTCTCCACCCCGAGGCTGCAGTCTGCTTCCCACGACTCCCAGTGGGGAGGACCTGAACGTCTGTAGGGTTTGGTGAGGACAGACCAAGAAGTCCAGTTTGAAGCTTCACTTGCAAAGCAACCACAATGTTTTGATTTAAATCACATTTATTTGCGGTGGTTTGGAGGTGGCCTGAAGATCATGGGGGAGGTGAAAGCCCCCCAGAGTCTTGGCCTGAGTGGTGGCCGGGAGGGACCTGGTACTATCCTGAAAGTCCCCAGAGGGCTTGGTCTTGTGCTGCGGAAGGTGGGTGCCCCAGGACAGAGCTGACTGGGGGGCAGGACACAAGAGCTGGGGCCCAGGAGGGGCAGGACTCCACAGGGGCAGAAGGGGCAAAGGCAGCAAGAGGAAGCCCTGGTAGCAAACACCCACAGGGAGGAACGCCGCGTTGGCAGGACTGGAAGACTAAAGCACTAGAACTGAATTGTGAGTGTAGACGGGGGACATGGGGCTGATGAAGCCGAGGGCAGAGCAGGGTGAAGAGTTTTTAAACACTCAGTTGAGGAGCTCGGGTTTAGCCTGAGGGCAGCCATGGAAGGTGGTCTTGGGCTGCTGTGCAGGCTGGACAAAGAGACGTGACGAAGTGCTGGTGTGGACGGGAGACCTCCTGCTCTGGGGCGGGGTGGGGGGGCAGCACTCCCACTCGGCCTGTGCTCCCCCCTGCCCCAGCTCCACCGCCTGGTTTTCAGTCTCCGGCACAGCAAGGAGGAGAGGGAGGACCTGGATGCTGAGGAGCTAGAAGGTCCGACCACAGCCCCCGTGCAGAACGGGCGCCCTGAGCACGCAGTGGAGATGGAGGGTAAGGCACTGCCCCCGGGACCTGGGGCCGGGGAGCTGGGGGAGCCGAGTGTCCTCAGACTCACTGTCAGGCCTCAATTTCTCCCAGCGCCCCTGCCCCCAAGGCCAGGCCTCTTGCGGCAGTGCCTGCTCTGGTTCTGTGGTGTGAGCAGGGGTGGGGCGGGCAGCCCCCCACGCCCTACCCAGGAGGAGACAGATGCCGCAGCCAGGAGGCTGGAGGACATCAGTGAGGACCCACACTGGGCCCGCGTCGTCAACCTCAACGCCCTGCTCATGATGGCCGTGGCCACGTTCCTCTGGGGCTTTTATGCCTGAGGCCCACTGTGTCAGACACCCTGAGCCACAGCTTTGAAATGAGTCAGGGTGGGGAGCCCGCAGCGGTGAGAAGGGCCTGGGGCCAGAGAGTAGCAGGGAGGCCCCGGGATCCCTACTGTCTGCCTTGTTTCTGCCTGGGGCCCAGTCCATTTGACTAGTAGCCACATCCTATGAGGCCTTGGCCAGCTGGCCACTGTGGTTCCCCTAAGAACAAATAAAGCTGCCTTGCCTATGTCCTGCTGCAGCCAGTGTCCTTGTTCCAGGACCCTGTCTGAGACCTGGGCCTCCGGCAGAGCTGCTCACAAGACCTTCTTTTCTGGGCACAGAAGCCACGTGGCCCTCCACTCATCCACCTCTAGCTGGTGCTTCTCAGTGCTCCAGCCCGCATCCTGTAGACCTGGGGAGAGGGCAGAGGGGTGGTGCTGTGGGGGAGACCCTGGGCTAACCTTGGGGAGAGGGGTAAGGTGCAGCACAGGCTGGGTGTACTGCTCAGGCTCCCCTTGCCTCTGTGGAGTGATCTCTGGTGTAAAATGAGGCTAAAACCTCATCTGGTTGCCATATGAATTCATTAAGCAGCACAGGGAAAAGGGCTAGAATGGAGTAGGGGCTAAATGAAAGATCATCATCAGTAATCTGTGAGCCTTCCCCCTCCCCCCGAGCCCCCCACCCCACTCCTCTTCTCCAGCGCCAACTGGGCTTCCATAGTCTGTCAACACTGAGTGCCTCACAGGCCATCCTAACCTCCCCGTCCTGCAGACAGGGAAACTGAGACCCAGACTTGAGATCACAGAGAGAAATCCAGGTCTTCCACCTCCCAGATAGAGGGGTAGGGATGGGGCTAGGCAGGGCCTCTGGGGAGAAGGTCCAGGAGCCATGGAGCAGAAGGATGTTACCTTTCAAGAACTTTGGGAAGAGCTTGTCCAGCACTTGGTGTGTCTCCCTGACAACGATCCAGCTCTCTTTCTCAGGACCTGGACAGGGGTGAAGAACCAGAAGCTCCCAGGTGTCCCAAGCCGAAAAGGCTCCTTCCCCTCTCCACCCTGCTTTGGTCAGCAGCAGCCTAGACTGCGAGGCATTTACCTGCCCGTACTCGGTTCCTCAATTCCTCCAGCTCTCCTGGGAGGGGTCCATCTCCCCGCAGGGCTCCAAGCACCAGCCCGTGAGTGGCAGCCTTTAGAATGGCCTCAGGTCCTGCCATCTGACTCAGGACAACCTGTACCTGGTCTGGAGAGACCCAGGGACAGACTGGTACCAGGGAAGGGCCAACTCTGAAACTCTCTCAGGCCTACCAGCCTGCCCCATCCCTGTCTGGCCCAAAGGCCTTGGCCTGGCATGAAAGGCCAGCTCCCATCCTTTCCTTTCCAACTTCATCTGTCGCTCCCCAATGCTAAAATGCCAAGCTAAAATGCCCAATTTCCAAGATACAACTTCAAAGCAGCTCCCTGAGGTGGGCTTATTTTGCATGTCTTTAATAGCTAGTGAGAATAAGCATCTTTTAACACATGACCAGCAGACCATTAAACTTTAGTGCCTGTTTGCTCAAGAGGTGACCTGAACAGGAGACAAAAGTGGTTCCTCAGGGAGAACCAGAGGCCACAATCTCATTTGTGTGTGCTACAATGTAAAAGTGCTTTTACATAATCATCTTCTTTGATCCTCACAAAAACCCTGAAGATAATAAGGCAGGTATTATTAGCTCCACTTAACAGAGTGGTCAAGGGAACTTTACAGGGGCATGCAGCTATATAATCTGAATGGATTCGATCTCAGCTTCAAGCTCCCCTGAGGACAGCAGGCAGATTCCAAACTGTCCAGCGTGTGTCTAGAGCTTGGGGCCCTGGGGCTGGAGGAATGAGAGGCTGAGCCCAGGAGGGTGAGTCTGAAGCTGGGAGAACACGGCACACTTACTTCGTGACTGGTCCCAGCGAAGGAGGTAGGGTTCTCGGTGCCCCTCAAGCAGCTGCTGCAGCTCAGAGACACTGAAGAAAACAAGAGTGTGCAGTCGGTCGGGGGCGGGGAGAAGACTGCAGGCGTGACCATGCAGTCACTGCACAGCCGCCTAGTCATTAACCCGAGCTGTCCTGCACCTCTTTCCCATCTGCCCCTCAGCTGTTACCCTCCCCCCCATCAACCCTTCTTTTCTTCCTGCATCCAACAAACACATCAACAAACATGTCTTCTTTGTCTTACAAGTCACTTGAGTAGCCCTACACTCAGGCAAGTAAACATCCACAGAGCAGAAGTACTTTATTTGGTGGTTCAGAAAGGCCAGTCTGGGATTTCTCTAGCGCTCCTACTACAAGCAGCATGGGTTCAATCCCTGGTCAGGGATCTAAGATCCCACATATTCATGGTGTACACCGCCTGCCCTCAAGCACCCACAGTGACATGCCCCCCACCCCCCACCGCCAGTGGAAATGAAGAACCAGAGAGGTAGGGCTTGGTCAGGGGAGGCCAGTGACAATCAGAACAAGGAGCGCGGGCTTCCCTGTGGTAAAGAATCCACCTGCCAATGCAGGAGACATGGGTTCGATCCCTGATCCAGGAAGATCCCACATGCCACGGGGCCGCTAAGCCTGTGCACCACAGCTATTGAGCCTGTGCTCTGGGAGCTGCAACTGCTGAGCTCAAGTGATGCAACTACTGATGCCCTCGGGTCTTAGAGTCCGTGCTCTGCAACAAGAGGAGCCCATGCACTGCAACCAGAGAGGAGCCCCTGCTCTCTGCAACTAGGGAAAAGCCCTTGCAGCAACGACCAAAAAACCCAAAAATAAATAAATAAACTTATTAAAGAACAAGGAGCACATGGTGGGGGGAGGGTGATAGCAGTGATGGGTGGGAGATGTTGGGCCACTCACCTGGACATCACACAGTGTAGGGGGGCCCCCAAGGATAGAGACACAGATGACCAGAAACCTGTGGGAAGCTGGAGTCAGGATGCCCGGGCAGAGGAAGGAGCTAGGAGACATAAGACTTGAGCCCAAGGGGTTGGGTCACCTGTCCACAGTGGCTCCATCCGATTGGCTGATGTGGGGCCAAGTACCTCTCCCTGCTGGAGGAAGTGCCTCAGGACCAGCCAGAGCCGCTGTTCATTCAAGGTCTCTATGACAAGGGCCCGGACGGCTCGGTAGTTGGCGTAGATGTGGAGGGCAGTGAGGAAGAAGAAACAGCCGAGGCTTAAGCTGGGACAAGAGAGTGAGCTGGTCCGTGGGAGAGAGGCCCAGCTGGGCGCCTCCTCCCTGCCTTGGATCCCGGCTTACCTGGGGCTATCGGACACCAGGGGCAGCATCAAGAGGCTGACCAGGAGCCCTGCCAGGTTTACCAGCGTCTCCTGGAAAATGGCAGAGGGGTTGGGAGCTGGAGGCTCCCCTCCATGCCAGACTGAACATCCCTGAGTGCCTTTCACCACAGTCCTCCCTAACCCCAGACGCTCCCTACACTGATATGGGTGCCTAGGAAATTTTTAATGTTTTTGATGAGTGAGCCATCATGTAAGATATATCTGCTTCTCTGCCCAGCTAGCTGCAATGCCTGTGGAACATTTCTTTGTTTTGCAAGCATCACTTGTGTAGCCCTACACTCAGTTAAGTAAGTGTCCACAGAGTAGAACAACTTTATTTGGTGGTTTAAAAAGGCCAATCTGGGACTTCCCTGGCGGTCCAGTGGTTAGGACCCCATGCTTAACACTGCAGGGGCCATGGTCAGGGAACTAAGAATCTACATGCCTCATGGTGTGGCCAACAAAAAAAGAGGCCGATCCCCCCAGCCCCTTGGTATGCAATAACAGGCAGACACTTCTGCAAAGGGGTCAATGAACCACCTAGGAAGAAATACACAAAATTCCAACTTACCTGGAGAATCAGTGTTATCAGACCCCATTGATGGCCCAAGATGGCCTGACTGAGCCTACCTAAGGGGGAAAGACCCATGGCCATGACCCCCAACTCATCAGGAGGGAGGAGAAGTCTGGACTGGGGTTCCTGACTATGGGGGTCCCTGGGATAGGTGGTCCTGGTGCAGAGGGCTGGGCTGTGAGTGTAAACTGGGGGTCAGGGGCCTTGGGAGCTCAGGAACAGAGGGCCCTCCCCGGGGTGGGAACAGTCATCTCCAGCAGCCACATGGAGTGGCAGCAAAGCAACAGCTTCAGAAAGCAGGGGCTGGTCCCAGGCTGAGCACCAGTCTTGGGTGCCCCAGTGGCCTTACCGCCTCTGTGAACTGAGGAAGCCCTGGGGCCCTGGAAAATGGGCCTGGAGGTTAGAAAGAGAGCAGGCGAGACAGCAAGCATGGGGCTGGGAGGTCCTAAAGAGCAGGGCCTGGTGTACTCACTCCCTAACAACCTTGGAAGAGATAATGGGGAAGAACTCGTCCAACCATTTCTTGAGAGAAGGGACAAGCCGGGGGGACCCAGGGAGAAACAACCTTTCTGTGTCTTTTTTGCCTCAGCTGTAGAGTGGCGACAGTGACACCCTGCATGAATCCACTGTAAGGATTTCATGAATTCAGACAAATGAAATACTTGGCACATGGTTAATGCTTAAAAAATATTAAATTGTGTTGGGACTTCCCTGGTGGTCCAGTGGTTAAGACTCTGCTCCCAATGTAGGGGGCACAGGTTCAATTCCTGGTCAGGGAACTAAGATCCCACATGCAGCATGGCCAAAAAAAAAAAAAAAAAGAACTTGTGTTAATATTACTGAAAAGAGTTAGTTTTAATTTTTTTAAAAATTTTTTTAAAATGAAGTTCTATTTCACAGAATCCTATAAGAAAAGGCCAGAAAGTAGGACTGGAGAGAAAAGAGGTTTTTTTGTTTTTTGGCCATGCCCCCCACTCTACCACGCACCCCCGACCCCCACCCCAGCATGTGGGAGCTGAGTTCCCTGACCAGGGATCGAACCCACACCCCCTGTACTGGTGCGGAGTCTTAACCACTGGACCACCAGAGAAGTCCCGAGAGTCAATGTTTCTAAATTGCTTCAGTGTCAAAGAAAACCGTGTCACACTTGTGACCTCCCTGGGCCTCACTTTCCACATCTGTAAAATGGAGATAATAATAGTATCTATCTTAGAGGCTTAGTGTGAGTTAAACAATTCACATAAGCACTTAGCACGGGGGGTACAGAGGGATCCCATTCCTTAAGGGTTTGGCCCTAGGAATGTTCCCACCCCAACTCCAGGCTCCTCTGGTCAGGCGAGGGGCTGGGCGGGAAGGGCCTGCTTAACTGCCAAGGGGAAGCCTCTGGCCAGTGACTCCAGCCACCTCACTTTCTAACCTGCCAGGAGCTTTAACATGTGGGGCCTCACCTGGTCAGAACACGTACCTCACAGGGAGAGGCTCTGCTTAAAGAGGACAAGGTCCAGGGCAGGGGCTCACTCCTGGCCACAGGGGCAGCAGGCAGGGCCTGAGATGACCAGCCTGGACTTGTGGCCACAGAGTCCGAGCCCTCACACCTGATGGTCTGTCCACAGACTCACCGGCACTTCCTCCTGCCTGTCTCCCAGCGCTCCCCCCAGAAGCCCTCAGCCGGGTCACTTCACATTCCCACACTGTGCCCCACCCCCGCATTCCCCATGCCCCCGCACCTTCCCTCCAATCCCAGCTGTTCACCTGGCTGCCGTCCTTGGCTGACACGTCGGCCATGTTGTTTCTCCGGGCCTGATGCATGGTCAGTGCAGCCCGAGTGGCCCCGCCAGCCACACCCACGAGGCACTGGGTGGGGAAAGGGACAGTAAGTGTCAGAGGGGCTGTGAGCTGCAACAACATGAACGTTTCTGGGGGTGAGCAAACAAATGGCTCAAACCAGTTTGGAAAAAGTAGGCCTCAGGCCACCCCACACTGAAAGCCTGAATGCTGTCCTTGGCCTCCCATTCTCACCCCGCGTTTCCACTAGGCCCACCTCCCCTGTCTTGTTCCAGGAGAAAACTAAAGGTGTGCCGGCCATGCCACCCTGTGGACCCAGCTCCAAGAAACTCGCTTTCTTCCCCCAAGGTGAAGACACGAAGGCCATTCTTAACCCAGAACTTCCCCAGCCTTCAACATCTGCTCTAGCTGCCTCTTCCCCTGGTGGAGCTCCCAGGCCCAGTCTGGCTTACAACTTGGCGCTTACATTCTCCCTGCCTGGAACTAATTCCTTTCTCTTCCTGCCCCAGTCAAGGCCTAGCCAAGCCTTCCAGGCCAGTTCAAAACCCACACCAGTGGCCCTGACCTCCTAGGGCTCTCCCTCTGAGATGGGAGAGCTCATTGATTAGGGCCACTGAAGGCTTTCACTCATTTATCACATCTCTCAGATGTCAAATACACATTTCGGTGCTGTGGTAGACTTCAGATACAACTGCTGCCCTCCTGAAACTTAGAAATCATCAGATTGTAAACAAATAAACCAGTGATGACATGATCAGCATCTGTTCAAAGTTAAGAGGAATGCGGTGTGAAAGGAGGCTGCAGTGATGGGTGGGGACCTGATCACACGAACTGCAAACACCTCATTAAGGTCTTTATACCAACAGCAACAGGCAGGGCAGTGACCTGATTTGATTTCCACTCTAATAAGGACTATGGGGTTGCTCTGAGGACTGAAGAGGGGTCAGAATAGATTCAGGGAGATGACCTCGGAATGACCTTTTTTTTAAGCAACAAGGACCCACCAGGTGACATGGGGATGCAGTCATTAAAGAACTGGAGAGATTTAAGAGGGGAAAATACAGTCTTGAATGGAGGCTTAGGTGAGGGTGACAGGCGACAGGGGGAGGAGGCGAAGGCATGGATGACAGCCAGGCTTCTGGTTGTTGCATCTGGGGGATGGAGGTGCTGGTCACGGAGACTAGAACTCTGGAGAGGGGTGGGAAGCGGGGAGGGGGAGTTCACAGCCATGTTGGAGTCCCTTATTTGACAGATGAAGAGACTGAGGCCCTCAGAGCAGAGCTCAATGCAGTATTTTGGCAGAGGTCACAATCTTTCTTTCCTCTGGGGTTTCCTGCCCTCAAGGGGGAGGGATGCCCACAGCATTCAGTTCTGGGTCAGGGAGCTCAGCGGCCTCCACCATAAAGAGCTGTTGGCTCCTAAATGTCAGTTGTACCGCATGGAATAACATATAAGATTTTGAAGGGATGGTTGGGCCTTTGCGATAGGTTTTAGGTCTTTTTTTTTTTTTGCCACACAAGGCATGTAGAACTTCCCTAACCAGGGATCGAACACCAAGCCTCCTGTGGTGGAAGCGTGGAATCTTAACCACTGAATTGCCAGGGAGATCAATTACGCGTCTTCCTGACTCTACTCTGCGCCAGGTACTTAACCCTGTGGGGAAGACAGGCTGGGCCTCAGGTTCTGTCTTTGGATGAGGCCAACCTGAAGGAACCACCAGGATGAGCAGCCTGGCAGAGAGGAGGAGCCCAGATTCACCCCACTTGCCCCTCTAGCCCCGCTGTCTGGTCTGCACTCCGTCTTGCCACTGGACCATGACCTGCAATGCTCTTTCTGCCCACAAAGCCCACCCTGCAGCTCACACTTATTCTTCAGGGCCCACTCTCAGGCAAGACCTTCCTGCATCCCGAGCAGGCCAGAGTCCCTGCTGACCCTTCCTGCAGTCCCGTACTTCTCATCTGAAATACCTATAGCTATCATTCAATAAACATTTAATTACGTGTAGCTTTCTTTCAAAGATGGGAGGGCCTGTATTCTGTGCCAAACATGCAGCAGGCACTCTAAATATTTTATGGAAAGAATGAAAGGTGGCCAGAGGGCTGGTCCCACGATGTTGACAATGGATCTCCCCTTCTATCTCTTGCTCAGAGGTCTCTCACCCTCTCACCCATCCCCCGGCTCCAGACACCACCTTAGACCATCTCAGACTCTAGAGGGCATCTGGCTGGAGAGGAGGATCAGAATACACCGCTGGGTCCGAGAAGAGACATCTGAACTTTTTCACTTTTCTACAAGTGCCTTGAACACAGGGCCCAGGCTGGGCTGCCCTCGGGGCTCCAAGTGAGTCCCACAAAGCACCACCAGGGCTGGAATCTTGGGTATGGGGGTGCCCCAAGATGGGTACCTTGGCCAGGTTGCTGATGCAGACGGTTATGGTGAAACAGAAAGGCAAGATGGGAGCCATTATCTCGAGGAACATGGCGATGTCGTTGAGGACGTCAGCAAAAAGCCTGGGGAAGGGATAAGGGGTCAGAGGTCAGAGACTTTCATGCTAGAAGACTCCCCTCTCCTCGGTTCCAGCCCCTTCTCACCTCCACTGCTTGGCATTACAGTCCATTTTGCTCCTGTGGAGAAGAAGACATTGGTCAACAATTTGGATTTAAGGGGAAAACATATCCTGTGGGCAGTGCGGGCCATCCTCAGGACTTGGGAAGGTCCAAAAGGGCTCAGAAGAAGAACCCACACCCTAGCCAGACTTCTGTCCCCACACCCTGTCACTGCTGCCTGAAATGCTGCCATCAGCAGGGAGGACCTTCAGTGGTCACTCACATTTCCCCCTTACTAACCCATGAGGCACCAAAGGAAAAAACTGATTGTCCCGTGGCTGCTCCCCATCCCCTGACCCTCCTGGGAGAGAGGCCATCCCTGGGTTCCTCTGCCATCTGCCCTCCTCTCTTCCTCCTGCTTCAGAGGGTACCCAGCAAGAAGCCCGCATATTCTGTAAGCACTACATTTAGCGTAAATGCTACCCTGCATGTTACAGACAAGCAGCCTGGAGAGGGGTACAACTTCCCTCAGATCGCGTGGAGGATGGGGATGGAACTGCCAAGAGAGAGAGCCAGGCTCTGACACCCAGCCTAGGACATCTCTATTTCGCGTCACCATGGATGGTTCCCTCCTCTGCAGGTGGAGTGACTACTGGACCCTTGTACAAACCCCCAGAGACCCCCTTCTCCAAGATCCCAGTGGCAGGAGACACTATAGCCCTCGGGCGAGCTCAGACTTTGCAGCATTAACACTAACCCTGAATGGGAAATCTTCTAGACAGAAAGAGAGCATTCCTGGGTGGGGCATGGGGTGCATATGGGGAACTCCTGAGGGAACTAATACACAACAAAGGCAGGACTAGAACACGGGGGCTCCGATGCCTCAGAAAAAGCAAAGGCTTTAGGTTCAAATCCCATCTCACCAGTTACAAGCTCTGTGACCTGGCCTATTTTGCATCTGGACGAGGTACCCATTCGATCCTACTCTACATAGTTGTTAGAAGGATTAGAGAGGATACACAGAGAGCTGGTGAGGCCCAGTTTGGGTTGGTAATCACAGCTGGCGTTTACTGAGCACTTATTACGTGCTAAGCACTTTGTATACACTAGCTCACTGCACCTCACAACCACGATTGATGGCAGATATTAGATCATTCCCGAGGTGCTTCAGTACTGACCGGAAGAGGAAGCAGGCAGCACAACGCCCTCAATCCCTTCTGGATAGATGGTGACATGTATCCCATGTGGGATAGGGATTCCGATGACCTCCCCAAGCCCACTCTCCACAATTCAACCACGTGTCTAAGCCACCACACTGCAGGAGGGTCATTCCTTTTGAGCTGTGCACTGTCCCACCCAGGCATCTCTTTTAACAAGCCAGCAAAGGATACTCAGAGCATCCTGGCTCCCTCTGTTTTTTTCCCATGATGGGCATCAGAGGGGCCAATCAGTGCTCTTAAAGGCAGACCTCATCCTGGCAGTGGCTCTATGGCTTCACTGCTTGGTGAGCCCAGGAAGTCATCTGTACTGGGTACTCATTAAAGACTCCTTAGCTCTGATGTACCTGCTAAATGTCCCCTCCCTTGGAGATGGGTAGGAAAGAGGGGGAGCTGAAAACACAGCCAGGGATCAGACAGACATGACTCTGTGGATCAGGAAGAAAAACTCACCCCATCCACCAGGCAAAGATGATGCGGCCCAGCATGCCAGTTGAATCTGGGGGAAAGAGGCATTGGTAAGGAACAAGCAAGAGCCTTGGATAGTGTGGGGCCTGGCACCAAGATGGCTTTCCATCTTGGGTCACTGCCTTTGGGAGCTTAGTCCAGTTGAGTAAGTTCTAGCTGCACGATGGGGTCAGAAGTGCCTAGACTTAGTAGTCCCTCAGTACGTACCCCAGATAACTAGGTACCCACACACACCAAGAGACATGGACCAGAAGGAATCTTTGCAGCACTGTTTATAACAGCAAAAAACTGGGACACCGAATGCTCACCAACAGGAGAATGCATAAATGAATTCTGGCTCATTTACTCAGGGGCATATTAGACAGCTATGAAAATCCAATGGACCACAACTATTCACATCAGCATGGATGACCTAGTATCATCATCCTATATGAAAAAGTCAATCATGAAGACTACATACAGCACAATATGCTGTTCATAAAAAAAAAAAAATCCCTGATGCTTTCATAAAAGACCCTGATGCTGGGAAAGACTGAAGGCAGGAGGAGAAGGGGGCAACAGAGGATGAGATGGTTGGATGGCATCACTGACTCAATGGGCATGAGTCTGAGCAAACTCTGGGAGATGGTGAAGGACAGGGAGGCCTGGCATGCTGCAGTCTACGGGATCACAAAGAGTCGGACACGACTTAGTGACTGAACTACAAATGCTCTTCATAAAGCTTGAAGACAACTGAAACTAAACACCATAGTGTCGAGGTATATACATCAATATGGTAAAACTTTTTTTAATAAAAGCAGGAAACCCTCTGTGGAAAATTCAGAGGTTATTGTTGATATTCTAGCTATTAGGCTGGAAAGTGGGTTCACAGACGGTCATTAGAATATAAATAAATGAAAAGGATTTGAACTGCAGGTTGGGGACAAGAGAGCTGGGAGTATAGGGCAGAAGGAGAGGCTTCCTCAGGCTGGGGTGAGTCAGAGAAATTTCTGGAATCCACTAGACTTTCATTTACGCAAGTGCTTACTGGCTGCCCACTGTGTGACAGGTAATGAGGGTCTGGCTGGGAGGTGTGTGTGTGGCAGGGTGTAGCGGACCACAGTGATTCAGAAAGTCATGGCTCCAGGCTCAAAAGAGACAGCAACCATGACGAAGGACATACATATGTGACAAGGGGACTATTCTACTGGAGGCCATCTGCAAAGCCCTTGTCAGATGTGGAGGCTGGCACTAGGATACAATAATGACACACATCCTCCCTACTGCCTTTGAAAGTCTACACTGTACACCACTCTAGGAAACTTAATTCCTTTTTGCCTCACTTACAATTGGCTGAGCTGCTGGATCTAAAAACTTCTGAATCCTAGTAAGGGATCAGCTGTCCAAAAATTTGACTTGGCTCCCTCTGAAAACTCTAATTGGCAAAAGAGTGTGGCGGTTAAGAGTGGGACACAGGGGCTTCCCTTGTGGCTCGGTGGCAAAGAAACCACCTCCCAATGCAGAAGACATAGGTTTGATCCCTGGTCTGGAAAGATCCCATTACCGAGCCTGTGTGTCTAGAGTCCATGTTCTGCAACAAGAGAAGTCCGTGCAACGGAAGTAGAGAGTAGCCCCCGTTTGCCCAAACTAGAGAAAAGTCTGCACAGCAGCAAAGGCCCAGCACAGCCAAAAATTTAAAAAAAAAATTTTTTTTAAACAGTTGCTAAGAAAAAAAAGTAGGAGGGGACATATGTATACCTATGGCTGATTCATGTTGATGTTCAACAGAAGACAACAAAATTCCATAAAACAATTATCCTTCAATTAAAAAATAAATTAAAAAAAAATGTAGGACACAGGAGTCAGTCAGTGTGGGTCCAAATCTTGGCCCTGTGACCACAGGCAAACTGCTAAACCTCTCTGTGCCAAGCTCCCCTCTGGAAAAGGAATTCATAACAGCATCTACCCAGTATGGCTGTTGCAGAGATAAAGCTATATATTACATGTCAGTGTACAAAATGCCTGGCACACAGCAGGCTGTCAAAATACTGGCTGCTCATAGTATTAATATCACTAGTTATGACAGTTAACACCATGTTCCATAAAGAGACCTGTAACTAAAAATGACCGCATCAAAAAATTCCAAGGGAGTTTTTTATGTAAAGCTCTGCATGCAAATTTCTCATGTTTGATAGAAACAAGTATGTAACATCCTTTCTAATGAATGGGGCTTCTTTTAATGTCAACAACAGGCTTTATAGTAAGTGGATATTTTTTCGTCTTAAAATGGTAATTTTTTTCTTAATAACCTGCCTGAGCTGAAGACATATATAAATATGTTGGTGATTAGACTAGAGTGCTTAGAAATGACACGAAACTACTGACCCCAGCTCCCACTGCATTCCAAACACTTAAGCAACAGGAGTGCAATAGAAAAGATCTAAATTAAACAGTGTGGAGGTACGAAAATGTACCATACAACTAAAACTCCTGGGTTCAAATCCAAGCCCCACCACTTACTGGCTGTGACCCTGGGCAAGTTACTGTTCTATGTCTCAGTTTCCCCATCTACAAATTGGACACAATGACAACACCCATCTCAGAGCTATTGTGAACACTGAATCAATACATTTAAAGACTGGTATACTGAGACATCCCTGGTGGTCCAGCAGTTAAGATTCTGCCTTCAAATGCAGGGGACACAAATTTGATTCCTGGTCAGGGAACTGGTATCCCACATACCTAAGCCTGTGAGCTGCAACTGCTGAACCCTCAAGCTCTGGAGCCGGTGCTCTGCAACTATAGAAAGCCTTCATGCTCAATGAAGAGTCAGCGCAGCCAAAATTTAAAAAAAAAAAAAGAAAAAACAAAGACTGGTACATAATAAGTACTGTGCAGGAACTATTTCTAATATTATTAAAAGAAGAGACAACTCAAACAAGAGCCACAGATCACCACTTTTCCACTGACATGTACTCTCAGAGAAAGAGCTTCTTTCCAGAGGTGACTCACATTTGGACAGTTTGGTTAATGCTAAGGGTACAAGAAGGAGCCTCCAGATTCTTCAAAAGATCCAGGGAGGCTCACCAGAGCTGTGGCCAGGCTGACAGTAGGAGCAATGAGCTTTGGGTCTGATTTAAATCCCCACTGGGAACAAGAGTGAAAGACAAAGAATGCAAGAGGCAACCAAGGGCCCTCCTGATGGAAAACAGTTCCCCCTTTCTTTTCTGCTTCACTCTCTACAGGGCATGGTACCAAACTGTATCTCTGTGCACTCCCTGCCCCCCCAATGGTTTTTCAAAAAGCAGTATATATTCAACAGATGGTTACTACTGTTATTATTTATAGATCATCTACTTTCCCAGAGGATCCAAAACGCCTTTCATTCTTCCCCAAACTTCCTCTCTGCCACTCAGGACCTATTACAAAATTGTTTTTGTCTAGCTTTAACTAATTTCCCACACCCCAGGCAATTGGCAGTTTTATTCAATTATTGAACTCGTAGGCAGTCCTCCACAGATGAGGAGTAAAGGGAAGGGGCACGTTTTGCTTAGGGAGCTGGGCTCCAGATGATCAAGGGACACTGAACAGCATGTATGGGGAACAAAGCACAGCTGCAAGGCTGGTGGGCGTGATAAGGGTATTCTTGCCCTGTGTTATTCACCAGTTGTCAATAAAGACAACACAAATGTTTTACTCAGTTGAATTTTGCTTTTTAACGGTACAAGGCACTCTTCGAGGAACCGGGGAGACTTGGCTCCTGGGTTTAATCAGACAGGAATGCATAAACATACTCATCACAGCTCAGTTAGATGTCAAAACACTGGGAGAAGGGAAAAGGAGGGGTTGGGCTTCCCGTCGAAGGAAAAAGAGGACAGAGACGATGGCAGGGCTGAGAGGAGCGAGGGGTGAGACTTCAGGGGCCCAGCTCACCTTTCACGAGCCAGGTGGCCGTGGCTGCTGAAACAGAGGCTTTTGCGTCCCCTACGCCTATGCCCAGCAAGACTGCGTGGGTGGCCAGGGAGCCCGAGAGGCTGGAAGCAAAGGCCTGGAGAAGAAAAGAAGTGGGGTGAGGAGTAAACGCAGGTGCATGGAGGGCTGAGATCTATCATCAGCCACATCACCGGGGTGTGTGGCCTGGGACGTGTCACAGCTCGTCTCTGGGTCTGTGTCCAGTCTGTAAGTGGGAAGGGACGGGTGGCGCTCTGTCTCCCCTGCCCCGACTACGTGTCTCTCCCTTCCCCAGTCGGCCAGGCTGACCTGCACGGAATCCCACAGCTGGTAGGGCAGGTAGTCCGGGCTGACGCTATCGGGGAAGCCCTGAGGCAGGAACACGGCCAACAGCCGGGAGAGAGGTGGGGTGGCAGTCCCGGGAGCCACCCCCCCGCCCCCATCTCGACCTCCGGGTTTCGCTGTGAAGGCCCCGGAAAACCCCCACCAGCTGCGCCCCCAGGCCTCCCACTGCAGGCTCCCGTCGGGGGCAGCGCGGCAGCCCCGGGCCGCCCCAGAGCCGAACTGCTCGGAGCACAAGACATCAGCCATCCTGAAACCCTCCCTTCAGTCCTGCAAGAAAAGAAACGTGGCCACAAGACACTTCCGGCTCCACTACGGCGGCTGCAGAGGGACAATCTTCCTCCGCCAAAGGGCCTCCTGATTCTGGCCTCCCAGCCCTGCCTCCGACCTCCCCGGGGCTGGTCGTTTCTCGCCCTAGTTCTTTATAGCATCTTGTCTGGGGTTGCGGGAGCCCTTTGACTCGCCAGACCCTGGAGGTACTGGCTTTGCTGTGACCCGCGATTTCCGGTTATGGGGACAAGGGAAGAGGGCGTCCCTAGGGAATTGTGTTGCTACCCAGTGCAGTCACAGAATTTTTAGCTGTGTGTCCTTGGGCAAGTCAGTGTCCCCTCTGGGCCTCAGGCACCTTCTCTGCTGTGAGGTCAGAGACTATATTTTACTCCTATTCCTAGTGCCCAACACATAGTAGGCGTCTGAACGATATTTATGAATGAATAAATGCATGCATGTTGAGAACTTGAACCAAATGATCACTGAGGCCTCCTTAATCTTCCCTCTTGGTTGGTTTGTGAGTTTTTTGTTTATTTGTTTTCCTTCTGGTGTCTCTGACCCTCCATTGGAAATTTTCTGCCCTTCAGCCTTCCAAATAAATAAATAAAATAAAATATGAACTTCTTGTCATGGCCCACAGAGCTCTGTAGATTGGGCCCTGCTCCATTGCTCAGACTTTACCCTTTACTGATTCATCGTCTCACTGCCCCCACTAGAACATAAAGTCCCAGGGGAGAAGAACTTTGTCTTTGTCCCAGGGCCTGACACAGGTCAGGCACCAACTACCTTTTTGTGAAATGAATTAATTTATTTTCTCAGTAGCCCTTGTAGGTATTGTTTTATTTCTCATTTGAACAGAAAACTGGAGTTTGCATACCCAAACTGGAGTTTGATGGGACTTCATCAAACAGATGAAGACAGAGCTGAAAAGCTGCAAGTGTTCATTCATCTAGTCATTCAACAGTTATTTAGTGAGAAGCTGCTATACTTCTGGGCTCTGAGGCGGGAGTCCAACTGGAGGCTAATAGTTCTAGAACTACATCATCTTTTTTCTTTTTTGGCTGGCCACATGGCTTATGGGATCATAGTTCCGAAACCACGGACGGAACCTGGGCTGTTTGCAGTAAAAGTGCAGAGTCCTAACCACTGGACTGCCAAGGAATTCCCTACTTTGTATTCTTTTTGAGTATTATAAAAATGGAAAGATACATTCTTAATGTAAATTAATTCAAACGATAATGTAGATGGAGAAGGTCAAATTCTCCCTTGACATTTATCCCTTTTTCCATTTTCAACAAATACCAGTCAATGCCCAGAAGTAAACATTGTTTGCCATTTGAGAGAGAGAGAGAAATCTAGTTTAATGTTTAATGCCCACTGCCATACTTTCGGCCTGAGGTAGCCTGCTCTAACTGTAGTTAATTTAACATCTTCGATACCTTTTCATATCAACACATGTGTAGCTATCTCATTATTTTAATAGTTGCAAGTATGCCTTGGTATGAATGTGCCAGTTTCTATGTCTCCATAATTACTTTACAACGTTGTGTTAGTTTCTGCTGAACAACAATGTGACTCAGCTATAGGTATACATTTATCCCCTCCCTCTTGAGTCTCCCTCCCACCCCCCCCCCATCCCACTCATCTAGGCCATCACAGAGCATTCACCTGGACACTCTGTGCTATACTGCAGCTTCGCACTAGCTATCTATTTTACAGACGGTAGTGTGTATATGTCAGTGATACCCTTTCAATTCGTCTCACTCTCCCCTCCCCACCCTATGTGTTTTTTAATTTGAACAAGTATTGTTAAATTATCCCTCTAAAAAAGCCATACTGGAGCTCCCCTGGTGGCTCAGTGGTAAAGAATCTGCTGCCAATGAGGGAGACATTTTGATCCCTGATCCAGAAAGATCCCACATGCCTTGGAGCTACTAAGCCCATGTGCATAAACAAAAAGAAAAAGAAAAAAAGCCTTACCAACTTACACTCCTACTAACAGTGTATGAGAATGCTCATCATAGTCAAGATACGTATTTCTATCTAAAAAAGTTCCCTTTGCCACATTTGCATTTTAAGCTCCACTCTTGTATTCTGGCCACAGATAACAACTGACAGTGCTTTCTGCCACTGTAGATTACTTTTGCTTATTCTAGAATTTTGTAGAAGTGGAATTCCACTGTATATGTCTTCTATGCTTGGCTTCTTTGGCTCAGCCTAATGATTTTGAGATTCATCCATGTTGTCATGAGTACAACACGTTTCTTTTTATTGCTGAGTAGTCTGTTGATTAGTCTGTTGTTTCTTTTTCTTGCTAAGTAGTATTCCATGGTATGAATATGCCACAATCTGTATATGTACTCACTGGTTATTAGACATTTGGGTTGTTTCCAGTTTTGAGTTATTGTGATAAAGCTGCTATGAACATTTGCACTTGCATGTAAGTATTTTTGTAGACTTGTATGGTCATTTCTTACTAACTCCATTTGGAGTGGGATTGCTGGGTTATGTGGTCAGTGTATGCTGAACTTTATAAGAAATTGCCAAATTATCTTTCAGACTTTTCATTGTACACTCCCACTTGCAATGTATGAGAATTCTAGTTTTCTCAGATCCTTACCAACACTTAATCAGTCTTTTAAACTTTTAGTCATTGTAGTTGGTATGTAGTGGCATCACACTGTAGCTTTCATTTGCATTTCCCTGGTGAGTAATAGTGTTGAATATCTCTTTATGTGCTTTGGCTATTTGCATATCTTCTTTATGAAGTGCCTGTTCCAATCTTTTGGCCATTTAAAAAGCTGCTATGCCTTATTATCGAACTATCAGAATTTGTTTTAAATTCTGTATACATGTTCTTTGTCAAGTGCCATTGTGACTATTCCTCCTTGTGGCAACAAATACTTTCTATCCTAAATAAATAAAAACACGTTCACACAAAAACCTGTACACAAATATTTATAGCTATTCTATTGATGCTTACCAATAACTGCAAACAATCCAAATATCCTCCAGTGGGTCAATGAATAAACAAGATCGAGTGCATCCTTGCAGCACACAGTTAGCAATGGAATGGAACAACTAACTCACTGTTACTTGCAACAACTTGGATGGAGCTTAAGGGCATTATTCTGAGTGAAAGGAGACAGTCTCAAAGGTTACATGCTGTATAATTCCATCATAGTGTGTGTTAGTCGCTCAGTCATGTCCAACTCTGCAACCCTATGGATTGTAGCCTGCCAGGCTCCTCTGTCCATGGGGATTCTACAGGCAAGAGTACTGGAGTGGGTAGCCATTCCCTTCTCCAGTGGATCTTCCCGACCCAGGGATCGAACCCTGGTCTCCTGCATTGACGTCCTCAAAAACACTGAACTGTAGTGATGGCAAACAGATCGGTGGCTGGCAGGGTTTAGGGATAAGAGGGGACAACCACATAGCTCAGTCAGTAAAGAATCTGCCTGCAATGCAGGAGACCTGGGTTCGATGCCTGGGTTGGGAAGATCCCCTGGAGAAGGAAATGGCAACCCACTCCAGTATTCTTGCCTGAAAAATCCCATGGACAGAGGAGCCTGGTGGGCTACAGTCCATGGGGTCGCAAGAGTGGGACATGACCTAGCAACTAAACCACCACCAGGGATCAGAGTGGGGGTAGCACAAAGGAGTTTTGGGGGTGATGGGAATGTTCTGTATCCTGATTGTGGTAGTAGTTACATGAATCTACATATTAAAATCCATACATTGTATACTAAAAGGAAGTTAATTTTGCTGTATGTTAATTAGGATAATGGAATAAACAAAAAGCATATCAACAAACTGAGTGCACAGGTGCCAGTGAACATTGGTTTTTGTTTTTAAGATTAAAAAAAAGATTTTTTTTAAAATGTGGACTATTTTTTAAATCTTTATTGAATTTGTTATTGTTTTTGAATTGCTTCTGTTTAATGTTTTCATTTTTTGGCCTCCAGACATATGGGATGTTAGCTCCCCCACCAAAAATTGAACCAGAGATGAAGCTCATAACCTCTGCATTGGAAGGCAAAGTCTTAACCACTGGCCCACCAGGGAAGTCCCTGTATGTTGACTTTTGAATGGAGAAAGATGTGACCGAAAATACATATCTCTTTAATGCTGGCTACTTTGTCGGGGGAAGGAGAAAAATGATCCACTTTTTCAGTGTGTATTTTTATAATGTTTCATTTATTTCAATTAGTATATGGTGATTTAGAAATTTGAAAAAAATCTATTAAAATGGAAACCATTAGGAAAATATTTTTAAAGATGAAAAAAGGTATTTTTGCTTTGTCAAGTACCTGATGATATGGTAGAGAGTAAGACAAATGTGTGTCCATTCCAGTGGAACTCAGCCTGGAAGTGTCCAGTCCTCCCATCCTATAAATGGCTCATCTGAAAAATTATGACTGTTATTGGAACTGGCCTAATGGAAGCTTTTATAAGAATACATACTTTGTGAGTTTTTTTTTTTTAATGCCATGCTGTGTGGCTTGCAGAATCTCAGTTCCCTGACCAGGGATTGAACCTGGGCCACAGCATTGAAAGCCCTGAATCCCAACCACTAGGCCTCCAGGGAACTCCCAAGAATAAATACCTTAATACTTGCTTGAAACAATGCCTCCCACAAAGCATAACTGTAATGTTAGCTGCTATGAATATATCATCTATGAATTGGAAGAATAATTGCCATCACTTGCAGGGGGATGATTTTTAAAGTGCTTGTCTTGCAATGGGGGATCAGTCACTGTTAATTTTGTGAGCCTTTGGAACCTGGCTTCTGGAATGTGGCAGGGAGGGCAAGGCGGTCCCTGGTGTGGTTTTCTGGGTCTCTCCACTTATCTGTTCTCTTGGCTTTGCTATCTCCCTAATTTCAGGGGAACCTCTCCCTGCTTCCCCTCCCCTGGTGGACATATCACCCTCCCTCAGGACCGAAATGCAGGGCGTTTCCCTCTTTGGCTGACACTGAACCCCTTGTCTACATCTAGCTTGGCACAGAGAGACAGCCAGATACTGAAAAGTGTGGCTGAGACCTACACAGCACCGCTGGACCTGAAGGTGAGCCAGCCGGGGAGAAATGTGATCTCAGGGCAGTTCAGGCTCAGAAGGGTGGTGCCGGGGAGGTGACCCTGCAGGGCACCGGGGATCCTCAGAGGGGAGTGAGGAGGTTGGGAGAAAAGGATACTTAAATTTCATCTCTTTCTCTAACCAAGCAGATGGCCCTTATTCAGACCAATAAGGATCTCATTTCTAAAGGAATAAAGGAATTCAACGGCCTGCTGAATCAGCAGGTAAGCCTGGTGCTCTATTTCAGAGGACAGGCCTGAAGTGTTGGGAGGTGGGCAAGGACAGAGAAAGGGGAATAACTTGGAGTGGGGAGGGTAATGGTGGAGTTGATGGAAGCCATGAGAGACAAGGAATATAAATCAGAGAAAAATGGATGTCAGAGTTTGTGGATATTCCTGAACCACATGTCTGAGCCGGGTCTCCTTCGCCAAATTCTGATCGCCCCCCACCCCGATCCCACCCTTCACCTCCCCCGCCCAGGTCTTCAGTGATCCTGCCGTCTCTGAAGAAGCCATGGTGACGGTGGTGAACGACTGGGTGAGCTTCTACATCAACTATTACAAGAAGCAGATGTCGGGGGAGCAAGAGGAGCAGGACAAGGCTCTGCAGGAGTTTCGGCAAGAGCTCGATACCCTGTCTGCCTCTTTCCTGGACAAGTATAGGAACTTCCTGAAGTCCTCATGAGCACCCCCTCACACGCTGCCTTTCTCCTAGCCCAGAGACCCAGGCTGCAAGTCTAAGAAACACTTAAATGCTGCCTCTGTGCTCTAGTCCTCGGGCTCTGCTCCTTCATGGGGTTGCTGCACCCTGACACCTCAATAAAGACCAGTTCTGGTTGTGATGGTCTTCCTGGCTCTTTGGCTCTTCTTTGGTTCCGATCCCTGAATCGTGGAGACAGTTTCCCCTCAGCCCTGCTTCCTAAATATGGTCTTGAAGATCAAACCTCTTAGAGCAGAGGTTTGCAGCCTTAAGTAACCACCGGGAAGTACTAAAATAGCCTGAAGGAGGGGCCAGCCGAGAGTCTAAAGAGTAAGTGCTGAGGGACAGGGAAGGGGACAAAAAGGGGGAGATAGCGGCTCACCAGAAAGCACGGTCCTGTGACATGCTGTCTAGAAGAAAGTTTTTGGAATCTCCCAGTCTTGTTTACCCTACATTGCAGCATGTGACAAGAGAATCAAACTATGACAAAAGTACAAGATATCCTCGCTGTAGGGGGCCGGGGAATGAAATGCACTAACATATCGGACTGTGGAAATGATGGAATCTATAAGACTAAGCCACAAATAACTGCACACAAACACTGTGCCCTAGTATGGGTTAATAATTCTGATACTGTTGCACATGCTCATTGGAATTGAACAATAGGTGTAAATACATAGTGGATAACGGGAGTTGGGTTTCTCAATGTCGGAGTGGGAATTTAGGGAGAGGCAAGGTGGTGGGGGGGGAGGTTAGAATAATCTACGTGGTAATGGATTGGAGTTAGAAATATCAGTACGGACAGACTTGGTGTGATGATGGCATATAGCGGGTGGGTTAAGTTGCTCCTCTTTTCCCTCCCTGTCTCCCTCCTCCTTTTTGTTTTTTTTTAAAGATTTATTTATTTGGCTGCACCAGGTCTAAGTTGCAGCATGCAAACTCTTAGCTGTGGCATGTAGGATCTAGTTCCCTGAGCAGAGATCAAATCCAGTCCACCTGCATTGGGAGCTCGGAGTCTCAGCCACTGGACCACCAGGGAAGTCCCCCTTCTCCCTTTTTAAACAACTAAGTAGACATCCATAAGGGAACAAAAGTGCCTCTGCACACTCCATCAAGGAACCCAGGAGGTTTCTAACCCACCTGTGTATCTGAAAATTAACAAATAGGACCTCAGTAAGGGCTGCAGATCCAAGGGAGATACAAATCTCCTCTATCTCCACTGGTCACAAGGGGGCAGGGGGTGGAGGGGTGAAGCCTGGAGATGGCAAACTGGGAAGAGACCCAGAGACCCTTCTGGAGATAGAGACGTTGTGGAAGTCCAGCCTGCCTGGAGGGGACTTCAGCATGTCCTTAGAGCAAGGTGAGGATGAGTCTGGAGGCGAGAGGAAGGAACTTGCCAAGGTGGCCCGTCTCCCCAGGGCGACTCCACCAACGTTGAGCTTTTCACAGCAGCAGGGGTGACCCCCATCAGGCAAAGGAGGTGGAAAGCGGTGACCCCTCGCACAGAGTGGGTGGGAAGCGCAAGGGGTGAGTGACTGCCCCCCATCCCCAGTTGCGCACATTCCAACTGGAGAAACCCATTTGTCTCCAGCAGTACCCAGATTTCTGAAGAGGGATCTCCATAACTGAGGGGAGAGAGGAAAAAAATGGAAGGAAACCTAAGACTATCACATGGCATTAATTGTTCATTTCCTGCTGTCCTCCAGTACTTCCGCAAGAAGTCTGCCCATGAACCGGTTGGAGAACCTCACCCAAGGAAACCCCTACAAACTGTGGGCACCCCAAGAACCCCAAGGGCTAAACCCATACCTCCTTGTACTCTGCGGCCGGCTCCTCTGCCAGAGTGAGCCCTAGTGGACACGGAGGGCGCTCAGGCCAAGGGAGAAAATACAAACGGGCTGTAGCGCCACCTTCTGGAAAACAAAAGAAAGGATCCTAACAGCCTGCCTGTTGAACGGTTAAGAACGGAAGGCTTAAAAGCTTAGTTAAGGAAGTTTCTATTTGTAACCTGAATTCTAACCTGAAAGCAGAGGCACATACCTACAAACGCTATTTAAAAATCAAGGAAATGTGACGGACCTAGAAATTATCACACTAACTGAAGACACTGCATATAACATGACAGATGGTGAGCGCTGCCAAGGGGAAGAAATCAGTTATAAAGGAGACAGTAGACAAGGAGTGTGATTTTGTTTCTTTCTTTTTTTTTTTTTTTACTGAGTGTTTAGGTAACATCAGCAAACAAGGCGACTTTTTTTTTGTTTTTTGGCCACACTGCTTGGCATGTGGAATCTTAGTTCCCGGACCAGGGATTGAACCAGTGCCCCCTGCAGTGGCATTGCTGAGTCTCAACCACTAGAACCCCAGGGAGGTCCCACATTTGAACACAGATCTCAAAGAAGATAGGGTTGGATCCAGGAAGTTATCTAAGTGTATGCCTCAATGCAGGAATGGCCAGCACAACAGCTCTGAGAAAGGTGCTCATTTCAGAAAAATCAAGGCTCCAAAGGAATGAGGTATGTCAGAGAACTGTGAGCAAGAAGGTGCATAATGAGAGATGGTGTTAGAAAAATCTGAGGAAGCAGGTGGCTTCCCTGCTGCTGCTGAAAGGAAGCCAGAGGGAATCCCTCATCCACACTATGGTCCTCTTCCACACTCTTAAATTTTTTGCAAGGGCCTCCCCTGAATTGATTGCCTCTTTAGTACAACCTATTGGTTTATTTCTGGTGTCTATAATGTAAGAGTCACCTTGGAATTATGAGGCCACATACAGGAGACCCGAGTTCAATCCCTAATCCGGGAAGACCCCCTGGAGAGATACATGGCAACCCACTCCAGTATTCTTGCCTGGGAAATCCCATGGACAGAGCAGCCTGGTGGGCTACAGTCCAGGGGTCTCAAAGAGTCTGACATGACTTAGCAACTCAACAACATTTCTGCCTTTAAGGATGTTTTCATCCCACAAGGTACACAAACACCCAAACACATGCACACATCCAACCATGGTCTTCTGGGCTGTTACTACCATGCCTTTTCCATCCCCAGGCTTACTGATTAGGTGAGGAGTAAATATAACTCCAGAAGTTCAGAAATCAGAAGATGATTGCTGCTTGGCAGGAAAGCTATGACAAACCTAGACAGTGTGTTGAAAGGCAGAGACATTACTCTGCAGACAAAGGTCCATATAGTCAAGGCTATGGTCTTCCCAGTGGTCACGTATGGTTGTGAGAGCTAGACCATAAAGAAGGCAGAATGCCAAAGAATTGGCTTCGAAATGTGGTGCTGGAGACTTCTGGAAGTCCCTTGGACAGCAAGAAGATCAAACCAGTCAATTTTAAGAGAAATCAACCCTGAATATTCGTCGGAAAGACTGATGCTGAAGCTGAAGCTCCAGTATTCTGGTCATCAGAGGTGAACAGCTGACTCATTGGAAAAGTCCCTGATGCTGGGAAAGATTGAGGGCCGAAGGATAAAAGGGTATCAGAGGATGAGAAGACTGGATGGCATCACTGATGCAATGGACATGAACTTGGGCCAACTTGGCAGGTGGTGAAGGAACAGGAGGCCTGGCGTGCTGCAGTCCATGGGGTCGCAAAAAGTCAGACACAACTGGGCAACTGAACAACAACAAATACATCTCACACCAGCCAAATGTATTATCTTGTCTCTAAGAATGTAGAAATGGTACCCAGAATTCCCAATTCAGTAGCCTCTCACACTAAGTGGAATAAGCCAGACAGAGAAAGACAAATCATATAATATCACTTATATTTGGAATCTAAGAAAATGAGAAAAATGAACTTCCATACAGAACAGAAATAGACTCACAGACATAGAAAACAAGCTTACGGTTACCAAAGGGGAAAAGTGGGGGATAAATTAGAAGTTTGAGATTAACATACACACACTGCTGCTGCTGCTACTAAGTCGCTTCAGTCGTGTCCGACTCTGTGCGACCCCATAGATGGCAGCCCACCAGGCTCCCCCCTCCCTGGATTCTCCAGGCAAGAACTCTGGAGTGGGTTGCCATTTCCTTCTCCAATGCATGAAAATGAAAAGTGAAAGTGAAGTCGCTCAGGCGTGTCCGACTCGTAGCGACCCCATGGACTGCAGCCCACCAGGCTCCTCCATCCATGGGATTTTCCAGGCAAGAGTACTGGAGTGGGTTGCCATTGCCTTCTCCGAACATACACACACTCCTATATATTAAATAGATAACCAATGAAGACTTACTGTTTAGCACAGAGAACTATGCTCAATATTTTGTAATAACTTATAAGAGAAAATAATCTGAAATAAAAAATATATATATACACGTATATGTATAACTGAATCACTTTTCTGTACACTTGAAACTAACACAACATTGTAAATCAACATTTTTAAGCCTTTCATGACAGATAAATCTGGGCCTCCATATTGGTATGGCCATTTTCTTTCATGTACTAAAATTATATAGATACATATATAGAGTAGTTATAATTATGGATATCATTATCTTAATTATATCATTATCAATTTGCTCTTTCTGGGTGGGGACAGATGGTAGAAAGTTCCTTACTGTTGTCTTATTGACATCATCCTAAGAAAGTCCTCTACTTCTTTTATTGCCTGTATATTTTAAATATTTGCAATTTATTTTATGTCATTATGGAGACCTGGGTCTGATCCCTGGGTTGGGAAGATCCCCTGGAGGAGGGCATGGCAGCCTACTCCAGTATTCTTGCCTGGAGAACCCCCATGGACAGAGGAGCCTGGCGGGCTACAGTCCATGGGGTCGCAAAGAGTCGGACCCGACTGAGCAACTAAGCACCGCACACTCTAGTGAATGAATTAAACGGGAAAACTTAAACGATGCATGACTCATCCTAGGATCGCTTTTTATTGCTGCGCAGTCGCTTCACAGTCTTGCGCTGTTTTCTGCAGTAAAGCAATATGAGTCAGCCATGTGTGTACACATACCCCCGCCCCTCTGGATTTCCCTC